CTGTGATATTTGAAAAATATTCTGAATTTCTGAGAGGAAGGGGAAATGTAACATGTGGGAAATGCATGTCCCCTTTATAACTTAATTTCAAGCTAGAGACGAATTTCGCTTCAGAGCCCATGATCAAAGAGGCTCAAGTCCCACATTGGTTCAATGTCATTTTGACCTGGAAAAAGAAGGCAATAACCAGAGGGGCGAGCTAATAGTGGAGTTTATTCAGTAGCTTGGAAGTAGTTCCATTAGTAAAATGTTTGTTTAGAAATTCATGCATGAAAATCTAGGAAGGAATAGCACAGGAAAGCAACATACCCTATTCAGATCATCTTTGCACAAGTGGGAAACCAGTTACATATTTTGGGTTGTATTGTAAAGATGGGAACAAATATTTGTTCAAGATTAAGTATCTCTCAATTCTCAATTCAGAAACACTGTCTGAAAGTACAGGCCATAACATTGGTTATACATCAGTTGTGTGGACTCGTATCATACACTATTGTGGACAAAGAATATGCAATGCTAGTGTGTTTTCCTCTTTTTCTATGAATCAAGCAAAATCATGCATTTGGATTAAAAATTATATATCCATTTTATTGCGCAGTGACAGCAAGGCATGTTTTTTCTCATGGATATTTAAAAATAATAGAAACCATGAGTACAAACTATTTATTCCAAATTGATCAAGGGACAAAAAGTTAAATAATCAGACTTTTCCAGAGTACATAACTTTTGATTAGCTTTATCTCCCAGTGTTCTCCAGCTTTGTCATTAATTTGTCAGGAGTTATGTGCTCAATGACAGTAAAAGAGATTTTTGGTTGCAGTGTAATAAAGAGTTGGGTACTAGGTGGTCATACTGAATTTTTCAAACACTCGTCAGGAAAATGAGCTGGTCATGTTACTAAAGTAGTATGACAGCTTTAAGCGTTTTAAAAAATTAAGTAAAAATGTAAGTTACATATTGCCCCAGAAAAGTAACCAAAGATTGATGCTGGAATAGGAATGCGAGGACAATGGGGTAAAAGAACAGCAGAAAGGAAAGCAGCCATCAGTGCACACACATTTCAGATTTTCTCTCTGGAAGAGCTTTCATGCCAAACCCTACAGTTTTAAATGAAGGGCAATTACGAAGCAGATCAAGGCTCTGTAAGGGTTATTAAAAGGGATACGCACAAAGTCTGGATACTTGTGGAGATTATGTGTACTCTTCTTCTGAAATGATGTTTCAGATGTCACATCTGCTAGCAGACACAAGTTTGCTAAGTTTATTTGTAAATTGTATCAGCATGCCTTGATTTTACACCTTTGCTCTAAAATGATGTAAAGGATTTTTATATTAACTCAGCAGATGGTCTGCTACAAATGCTAAAATCCTCAAATCTCTATGTTTACATTAGGTTTTGGTGAACAGAAATATTGCAAATATTCTTAATGACAGACTGATGAAAAAAAGGTGTATTTCCTACTAAATGTTTAGCCCAATTTTCCCATCTTACAAAACTCAGATCTGCATTTTTCTCCACTCTGTAGGCTCTATATTAATATTTTTCATGATAAAAAACTGAAAATCATTTCATTTAAATTTAGGTTCAGCAGATTTCATTTACCTGAATGACAGAGGCATGTATCAACAGAGAAAATATATTTTCTGAAGAATACTATCAAGAGAACTCTGGAAACTCCTTCATTCATGATATTTCAAGACGAAATATGGCATCATCACACCAAGTTTCATTCAGAAGTGGCAGAACATTACTGGTATACAGGAATACTTGAACAGTGACATTTATAATTTAAATGATTTCTCTCTACTAACAGTAAAGCAAAAACACAAAAATCAGAATATCAATATAGAGCCCACCCAAAGATTATAAAAATTCCTAAATTAAATTAAAGATAGGAGCCTTCACCAAACTTGCTGCAAGTTTGGGGACATAAATATCCAACAGCTGTAAAGCTGTGAAAGCCCCTAGAATGAATAAAATAAATCCCACTTGCCTCAGACTGAACAGGGCAACACTGAGACTCTGCCTCAGCCTGTCCTATGGCAGGGCTATAGGAAGAAGAAAAGTTTAAATTTTAGAAAAGCATGACCCAATTAACTTAAGAATACATGCAATCAAAATTAACTAAATTCCAATTATCAAACCTTGTTTGGACTCCAAGAGTTTAACCCCACATAGATCATATACAAAGTTTAAAACCAAGAGTTCACATATGGGGCAGGGGGAATCCAGCAAGAGTGCTCATCTTACTGCTATCACCTCTATTCATTCAGCACCCAGTCAATAACTGGTGGTTGATCTCTAAGGAATGGCATCTAGAAAATGAACTTTAGAATGCTAGATGAAATCTCACCTACTATTGAGAACTTCATAGGACTCATTACTAAGTAGCTAGACCAGTACAATTATTAAGGCATCTGTATCAGGTGAAAACATGTGTTTCACAATGTCAGAAATATGTATTTGTTAAATGCCTAGGGTTTATTATCACATTTTTTCATTATGCCTGGGATAGAGACCCTCTTCCTGTCCAAACAAAACAAAGCCAGGATTTCTCACTATGAGAACAGCCTGAGAGGTTTTGAACACACTCACTCACATGAATATACTGTAATCCCAGGAGATCAAAACCCTCCAATTTCAGTTAAAAGTACCATAGGTTTTCATATTTGTACTGAAAAAACTGATTTGAAACCATAATTGAATCCTGACTGTCATTTACGATCAACAGTTTAAACAAACCCATTTCATGAGTTTGGACACTGTGAAGAACTGTGGCTAGTTCAAAGAGAAAAATATTTGCTCTCTTGTGTATAAACACTAAAGAGCTCAACAAAGCATATAAAACGGGCTCAGTCTCATAGCAGAAAGTCACCATTTCCCACTTAATCTAAAATAGATGAATAAACACCACACACATACTATCTTATTGAAAGTAAGGTTTCCTAATGAGATCCTCAATTTTTTTCTGCTGCAGCTTCTTACATAAACAAAATAATCATGCTTTTCAATGGACGTAGGACAGAAACTGGACTGTGCTCTTTCACTCACAAATGAGAACACCCCTGTCTCTGGAAGAGGATGGAATGATCTACTGGCTTCAGAACGCCCTTCTCTATTGAAAAACAATGTGGTTATCAGTAATCCAAGCACGCTGCACAGCCAAATTTTCAGTGGTGCCATTGAGTGTATAAACAAGCATTAGAAAGGTACAATAGAAATTATTAGAAATTTGTACATTTATTAACCATGGCATACTAGTTATTTTAAATTTAGATGACAAGTAATAGTTCAGGTCCTGCTTATGACTCATGATGCATGAAGCATGTCACCAGAATCCTCTCAGATGAATAAATGTAAGTTTGCTGATTTTAGTCTTGCCAAAGATTTCTCAGGGCTGTGTTGATATTAGGATGAACTATGTAAGAAAAGTATATCCAAGTAAGCTTATATGGGCCAAAAAATCACATGGATCTAGAAACTGTTCCTGAAGCAGCATCCTACAGCTTTAAGAGACAAGTCACTTTAATACTGACCTGCCTCTTCAGTAGAAGATCTAAAATGACAGCAACACTAAAGAAAGCTTAAGATGTGCTTGCTGTTTTCACCCACATGAGCAAACAGTTTCTTTGTGAATAGGTATTAGTAATTGCATTATGTCTCTCACAATAGATAGAACAAAATAGGTAAATCTGTAGAATGATGAGCAACCACTGAACACAACAGTGCATTTTGGATACTTTCATGGAAATGGATGAACAACCAATGCGTATTTAGTGTGAAAATTATTACTGCTGAATTACATTAACAAAATAAGGTTTCTAATAAATGCAATAAATAAATAAATTTGAAAGAACCAAAACACATGAAAACGACAAAGTCTGTGTATCTACTAGAAGACAAGACATACAGGAAGCCTATTAGCCCATAACTTACAAAAATAATTTTAAAAAGCATGCATGAAAACAGCACGTATTTGTTTCAGTACGAACTATCGCTTTCAAATGCAAAGCAACTAAGTTGAAGTAGACTGTTCACAATGCTAAGCAGTAACAGTTTACAAATGTGCCATTAACAAGGATGACAGCCACAGGGAAGGGCAAAACATTTAAATAACAGAATTGGCCTTCATAAACCTATTAATGAAATAAGAACATTATCCCAGTGTGCTTTGTTACTCTCAGTTCTCATGCAAATACTTGATCTTGGAGATACAAAGACACTAAGAAAAGGAAAAGAGCTGATATATGCTACATAAAAATGTTAAGATCCAACATACTCAGACAAAACCTACTACATCCTTCAACTGAAAGTAGTCTTCTTTTGTTCTCCTGCCAAATAGCACAAATAGAACCAAGTCCAGTTAAAGAAACAGTTAAAGCCTTGCCAGGGTTTGGTGAGATTCAAAATATAATATGGTACACTCACACTGGTATAACCCCCTCAAGGCCCTGGTAATCCTGCCATGCAATGTGGGCAAGACTTGGAGCCTCAGCTGTAGTTTCTTGCCTGATTTCTCACAACCCATTTTCTACATCTGCTTGATTGTCCTTTGCTGTTCACATGCAAAAATGTCTTGTCAGCCCTACAGGTTCAAATGGAAATTTGAGACACAAACCTCATGGAATATGTAAAGCATGTGTCGCAGCATTATCTTCCATCTAAACATCGTGACATTTATATCAAATAGCTGGAGGTCCCTACCTGGAGTCAGAGGCACAGTACTAAGAGTCATCAAGAAATGTGCTCTATAACGAAATATACTTAGAACACATTTAAACAAAGGAAAACATAGCACGCTAATATTGTAATGAGATGGCCTATGCAAGTCTAAAGAGAGCTACACTATTCAGAAAAGTTATCAAGGTCCCCTTCATTCCATGTTCTTAAAAGACTATTTTCTACAATTGGTTAATAAGTGTACAGGTCTATGCCTACTTATTCAGGAGTCAGCTACAGCAGAAGTAGTGACTTGGAAGTTTTAAATAATTCAAATATATCAATGGAGCATCACGAAATTTGTGTTTATTATACCATAAGCTACCACAGCATGCATTCGTACAAACCTTCAGGCAGTTGTCCACAGCTGGTCATGAATAAAAAGACAATGTTTTTCTTTCATTTTATTACAATGAAGTTAAACAGTACAGAAAGTCACATGAACTTAGTGGGTCAATTTTATAAACCCTGCAATAGGAGGAACTCTAAATACATTAAATACTGTTACATGTTCAGACTTCAGTGTACAAGTGGATGGTAACAGTTAAAGCCCTCACCAAACTTTTGTTGGGGACATGAAGTCCAACAGCACATGACGTGCTGTGAAGGCATCATTTTACGAACAGCAACATAAGGTTACAGAACTTGCCTTTAAGATGGTATGTTCATGTAATTCCAGCGCCTTCACAATTTAACGAACCATATTTACTATACTTCACTTCTAAAAACCTAGATGAAACATGAAAAAGAAGCCATACAGTATAAATTGCAATATCAGGGAAGGTTCTGTTTTATTACTCTAAATAAATTTTCCCCATGTAAAATAAGAATGTCCAACAGTTCCTTGTATGTGGAAAGATTTTTTTTCTAAAAGTCACAACGGAGTTTTAATTGATGGAAGCTTGGCTATATTAACAGCACAAGATGAGAAAAGGTTTAATCTCCAAACCTATTAGAGCACTTGCTGTAGCCTCAGTAGCGGCCACCTTGCGACATGACTGGCGGTCTCATTCCCATTGGAGGCCGAGGAGGTCCGCCTTGATAAGGAGGCACCATGGGGGGCCCTTGGCCATACGGAGGCATCCCTCCAGGAAGGTATCCTTGCATGCCCTGGTGATGGGCACCATACTGACCTACGGAAGAAGATGTGAGAAAAGTAAGGCAACCCTCTTAAGCGATATTGTAATGAGTAATGCTTTCGGAAATCACTTAATGTCATAGTTAAGCAAATTGTATCATAGGCTTTCAAAAAAATCTCAATTTAATGTGTTATTACCATGAGGTGGAATTGGAGGTCTCATTCCTTGTTGCTGCGGAGGAATTCCTGGCTGCGGTGGCATCATACCTCCAATTGGTCCAACAGGTGGGTTGCCCATGGAGGCTTGCCCTGGTCGAGGGAGATTGCGCTGATATTTAGGCAATTGGGCTCTTCTTTCCTCCTATGAACAGAAGCACATGGAGGGAATTTCATTAATGAGAGATTAAACACAAACATAGCTCACAGCACACAAGCCATATATAGGAAACTTGAACAGATAAGCTCTTGACAGTTACATTTAAACTTTTGAGATAAATATCACAGAACATACTTTAAGAAAATAATAAATTAATATTTTCACTTCAGCAAAGGCAGAATTTAAAGGTAGCATTCACACAACTTATTATCTGTGTAGCTGCTTTATACAAAGTGTCAATTGATATGAAACAGTCCACAGCAGGTCATAATATTAAGAGTATTTTCTTTTCAGAACTTTGATTATACATCAATGTTACATTTTATTGGTGCTAAATATGGAAGGAATTGGCTGATGAGATAGTATATAATCCAACAACTACTGGTCAGGAAATGACAATTTATGCAGCAAGCAGAAATCCTATTCAACTTACCAAGGATATATCCTCATCTGGGTGGATCAACTTACTGGTTGCGCTGGTTGTTGTAAGAGTAGCAGGCTTACTTGTTATAGAAGTAGCAGGTTTAGCTGCAGTACTGTTTGTTGTACTAGTGGTCGAAGTTATAGACTGTGTATAAGCAGGGAATGTAGGTTTGGGGAGTTCTGTAGTAGTTGCAGGCACATTATTCAAAGGTTTGAAATCTGTACCAACTGGCCCTGGAACAGTTGCCTGAGCCTGTAAGACACAAAGTTAAATTCTAAGAACAGATGTATTGAAAACATAAACATTACGCCCCACAGCAGTACAGTTTATTGGCACACCTACATTAGCCAAAGTAAAAGATCAGCCGTATGTCAAAAAGCAAACTGAAAAAAAATTAACCCACACCACCACCACCCCCGAACACACATTAAAGATGATGCAGATCAAAAGCCACAAGAGAAGCAAAACGAACTGCACAATCTATTTGTTGCTATTGTTTTTGCAGAATTTTACATGACACACTCAATAAAGTGGTATGCTCAAGATCTGTTTCACTAAGAAACAGACTAGGCAACTCTAGTATGCATTAGTTTAAAATTGTATTAGATAAGTTAGAATTTACAGTCACAATAAGAACATTTAGGAAGGGTTTTTTGTAAGAACACTAGTGTGTCAAAATTTGTAATATTAAATGAGATGATTTTAAAAGCATTCTCTGCATAAAAACCTATTGATATTATGAGAAGCCTTAAATATCTTTTTCTGTTCTAAACTATTCTCTCCTATGATCTCTGAAGTTATATTTTCCTCACTGGAAACAATATAATTTGAATGTATAGAACTCTTAGATTCACTTATGAGAGAATGCTTTGAAAAGCAAACAGCACATGTTTTGAAGTCACCACTGAATTCCAAACTAGAAGCAACTAGGTTGGGATTCATTGCATGATGCAATTTCCCCTCACATTTATCATGATGCATCAGAACTAACAGCATGAACTAGAAAAAATAAACCATGCTCACTAAAACGCACTTTACTGCTTTCATGCTCTTTCTTTTTAACCCTTTAGAACCACAATGTAGAATCTTTAATTTCTTTCCGTTACCCAAATATTGTAGATGGCTAGAAGCTAACAATTTAAGATTTGAGCACACAGTTAAACATAATCAGGAATCTACAATTATCTGATTATGTTTAGGCATTAAAGTTTACATAACGGTCTAAAGGGTTAATTGGCAAAGCAATTTTAACTGCAACTTCCTGCGTACTTGTGCTGTGCTAGGAAACAAAGCTTTAGAAGGTGCGGACAGTTCTGAATTGGATGAAGTTGTACTTGAGCTTGTGACAGGTGTCCCCATCTGTAGCATAAAAGAAAGGAAACAGTAAACAGTCTCCAAATAAATGTGTGAAAAATAACGGAGAGGAAGGATATTGGATTGTTTTTTTTGTAAATGACTATCTGCCTTGCAGAAGTTCAAAATGCAATAGTACTTTATGAAGAATTCTGCAACACAAGTTACAAAAGTAGTAAAGCCATATTCATTTACAATAAATCCAAAGTGGAGGACATGAATCTGTCATGCATACCATTCCATTTTACGTAAAAGAGCTAATGATTTAACTCCAAGAGCCGTGAAGTTTATTCCATAGCAATCTAAAATCGCCTCCACACCACCACCACTAAGATAGGACAACTAAATTTATTTTAGAATAATATGAAAAATGAATAAAATTGAATATACAAAAAAAGTTAAGGGATATATTCCTGGTTACACAATTTTGATTCTTTTTTAAGAGAACAGGAATGTATAATTCTAAGGCTATTTACATGTCTACTATTTTGTAGGACCTTTTAAAAATCATGAGCTCCTGCTTACAAAAATCACAAGTCATGCTTATTCCTCTGCATGAAAATAAAATAAAAACCTTTTTTTAGTTTTGGCCTGACAAAAATATCAAGTTCCTCAACCAGAAAGTGAGCAGAAGATGAAATGACCATAGGTGTAAATAGCAAAGCTGTAGTATATATCTCACAATAAGTTCTGTGCAACATACCAGATAATACCAAGCAATCTTTCTATCCATTTCAGTGACGGAGAATATGCTGCTTTTCCCCCACAATGGGTTCCCACAACCACTGTCAACGTATGAATAAACATTGTAGACAATACACAAACATCGAGAACAAGTGTTTCTGCAAAGCACCTTATTACACTGCAATTAATGTTAAAAAGAAGAAAACAACAACACTAAAGGATGCATAGACTTACTTGTCCAGCACTGGGAAAAAGTGGTTTAGTGACTGGAGGTTGAGGATTTGGTGCCAAGACAGGAGCGGGAGGTCTGTTAAGAACACCTGGAGCAGACACAGGCTGTGCTTGTGTCATGGGGGGCATACCTGGCCGAGGACCAACTGGTGGAGGCATACCTGTATTAAATAAAAACATATTTTTCTCTTTTCTGAAAAATTTGCTATGAAGAAACACTTTATCTATTCGCAAGAACACCAACCAAAAAAAATTAGGAGGCAGTCTTTCCCCCCAGCAGAAATTTTCTGGTCACACAAATTACCTAGAACAAAGCTACAGCAGCACAATAAAGTTTGCTTTGCTCCCTTCAATAAAAAAAAATGTACTGTCTAAAGTCTGTAAAGAAGGATCAATGAGTTGGGGTTTTCTCATCCTTGCCACTATGACAGGTGCAAATTAAACTTTTGGTACTGCTAAAGTACAGGACCATCATCCACCTTTGTTAAAAAAAAACAATTCAAATGCTAATGGGGTGAATATGGGGATAATTTTAAATCATGACAACAGTAGCCTGGACCAATTTTAAAAACATACAATTCAGTATCAATGACTAAAAAGCTGCAAACACATGCATGCACAAACAAGACATATTCTAAATTAGTTTTTACCACTATTTATTTACAAGCTGTTTCAGTTGCCAATGATGGATAATGAGTCAGGCAGTTGCCCTTCGCTGTATCTTAGCCAGTGTTTTTAATACCATTATATCTTAGCACCATCGTGTCCTTGTTTTCTATGCACACAATTCTTACCAACCATAAATCCAGTTTAAAAATATAATAAAGTAATTCTCACCACAGTAGGGATTCATCACTCCTGACCTACCTGGTGGCATACCAGGCATGAGAGGTGGGATTCCTGGCCCAGGAGGCATCATGCCACCCATTGGCATCATCCTGTGAAATACGAAGGGCATTAAAATGGAGCCTGCCATAGGGAAGCATAGGATAACAAGGCAATGGGAAATATTCCTCAACTGTAAAAACAATTCTGCTTTCAGCAGCCAGCCAGCATTCCTACCTAATCTTTCAGTAGGTACTCAATAACAGACACGTTCTGGAGGGCTGAGAAATGGGGCTAGTTTCAAATGACATTCAGGGTTACAGAAGGGAATTGAGAGTAGGTACACAAAATACTACTTGGTTATCAGATTCAGCGGCATATCTTCTAGGCTTACTTAAATGTTCATGTACACCTCCCAATATTTTGGGACTAAAAGTAAAGTGAAACTAAAATGACGTGGTAACCTGAACTCACCACTCTCACTGCTAGAAACTGCTGGGAAATAGGTGAATATGAGTAGAGAACATCACCTAGGACATCAATCTTCCACACCAATGGAAAAAGATGAAGTGTGGTATCAGGAAAAGGTCTAATGTATGCCAAGTTGTTTAAACAACCCTTATACTTTTTTGACCAGCAAATCAGCAATGCTGCTTTTCGAATCTCCATAGACTGTAATATGTCAGAAACTAAAGCACCTCCTTTTTGAAATGACAGGGCATGACCAGAATAGAGTTCTTGAAGCCACAATTTATACTAACCCAGGTGGCATTCCAGGCATCACTGGAGGCATTCCTGGCATCATTGGTGGAACACCTGCCATTAATGGTGGTATACCTGAAAGTCATAATAATTAATGATCACTTATATGGAAGCTGAAAACAAAAACAGAACAATGTAGCCTTTTCAGTAATATCAGTTAATTCTTCAAAGAAATGATACACAAGTTAGCAAAATCTTTACCATAACACATCAAAGTATCGAATACTCGCTGGATTTTATCCTTCTGTTTTTCTTATGTGTATCAATCTATTTTCACAGCTCTGGCAACACACCTTAAAGTTTAGTCCATTCACAATTTGTATGAAACTATTCAAGGAGGGACAATTCAGTTTCAAAATACAGGTTGCTTATTACGGAAACACCAACAAGATCAGTGCTGTTAACTGGTTAAATTAGAAATGTAGTTGCCAATTTATTAAACCATAGTCTGCTTGAAAGCTATGAACAAAACAAGAATGAAACTCAAGATACGCGATTTTGATACTAGTAAGAAACACTTAACTTTAAGAACAAGTTAAGTAATATCTACAAAAGTCCACTTTAATCCATCTTTTTGAAATATCCTGTATTTCAAATAGTTGCACAAAACTGTTCCTCACAACTGAAGAAATTTCTAAGATAACCATTCCATTATTTCTGTCTTTCAATGATCAGTACCTGGAGGTATTCCTGGTGCACCTGGTACAGGAGGTAAACCTGGCTGTGCCATTGGCTGTATATATCCCTGCTGGGGTTGCACAGGCTGTGCTTGAAATGAGGTTGACGCTGAAGATTCATCATCATCATATTCATCTGAATCATCTTGCTGCTTCTTTTTCTGGCTCTCTGCTAAAAGAGTTTAACATTCAGATTAATGTCAATTATTTGTTATTAGACTCCTTCCATCTTGGAATCATTCTACCTGAGACTTTGTGAGCAGTGGCAAACTATACAATACATTCATTAACATGGTAATCCCTTATTAATACTAGAAACTATGGTGAAAGCTAAACACTTTGAGCACTTAAAGAGGTGGCTTTCCAACTCTTCTTAAGCAATGTTTGGTTAATTAATTTCAGGAGTATTCAATGTCTTCCCTATACCAAATAATCAGAACCCATTCCAAACAACAGAAACCAAAAATGACAAAAAAGGGCCAGTTACTGATCAGATGCACCATAATCTTCTATTATGAAGAAATAAACAGGCTCCATGACAGCAAACGAGTTTGAACTAAAACAACCTCTTTGAATGTGATGTTCAATTAAATGTTTTTTTTTAGTGTGAGCAACATAAGGCTACTGTACAACTATCAACTGGTAACAATACATAGCACAAATGAAACTGAGTTAGCGTGGTGGAGGGCTTGAGTATTGAACTAGGACTCTAATGAACTGAGTCTGAATGGCTCACACTCTCTCAGCCTGAGAGGGAAACAAAGTTGTAAACAACTTGAAGGTACACAACAGCAATAAATTACTCAAATAATAATTAAGAAAATTTCAGACTCTGATATCAGTTTTTATTTGTATTATTCTACTATTCACTGCCAAGAGAGGAAAGGAGGCATGTGTTCCACATAAGATCTTCTGGGGAGGCCCTGCTCTCAGTCCCACCTGCTTCGCAAGTGCGGTTGGTGGGGACATGAGACAGGGCCTTCTCAGTGGTGGCTCCTCGGCTCTGGAACTTTCTCCCCAGTGACATTAGATCTGCACCCTCCCTCTTGGCCTTTAGAAAAAGAACAAAGACATGGTTATAGAACCAAGCTTTTGACTAGTAATGCAGTACAAGAAGCAAATGTAGAATATGTGCAATCGACATTTGGAAGTTGGATAATGTGATTTTAATGCTTTTATTAGGTGTTTTAATTCTTATATTTCATGTTTTAAATGTCCTTTTATCTTCTCTTATGGTACATTGTCCTATTGATTTTATGCTAGGTATATGTTGTTGATTGAGTTTCTGTTTATGTATGTAAGGCACTAAATTTTGCTGTTATTTTTGTGTGAACTGCTTTGAGTCCCCCAGGGGTGAGAAAAGCGCTATATAAGTACTGTGAATAAATAATAAATAAAATAAATATCCATGTGAAACATACAAACTCACTGTGCACTTCAGGCTCATAATAATATTAGTGAGACATTGATATGAGAAAACAAGACACTACATCTTTAGATCTCCATCTAAGCTGCTCCCAGTAAAAACATTATGAATAAGTGATTTTATTCTCATTCAAGCATTATATTAGCTAGGGATTGCTGCAAACAAAATGTTTCAATTTACCTTGGGTTTTTTGTTCAAGAAGTCTTCTTCTTTCATCCATGTCTTTTTCTGGAATGCCCTCCATACCATAGATTTCCAGTTCAATGTCAGTTCTTCCAGGTATTGCATTTGGAACAGCATCTATTGTTTCTTTATGTACCTAAATAAAAATGTAATATAATTCAATGATATTAATTCCAGCCCCAATACCAGCCATATTATTTACCCAGATTAATGAGGCAGGTTTGGCACTAGTTCATTAGAAACAGAACATACAATTTCCAGTAATTAAAAAGGGCAATGATTTTTTAAATCTTCGTAAAACTTCACTTTTGCTTTGGAGCAGACCAACACAAGAAAATATCTACTTGTGCACTTACCTGCATACAGTGTATAGCTAAACCAGGTCCAGTGTACAATTTCTTATGGCATATATGACATTTAAAGTGCTTTGCTTTTTGGTGCTGAATAAGAATTTTCTCATCATCAAAATCCCTGTTACAATACCTGTTTCATATTGTTAAGGAAAGCATTAAATCACAATACTTACTAAAATTTATTACACACATTAGTAATAATTACTACAACCATGAGTCTTCCAGTAATATTGCCCGTTAATTCCTAGCAGCCCTATCTAATAATGGTCTATGGAACAAAGTCAGAATAGACTGTGGAAACAGATACCTTTCAAAGCTGCATTTATTAGCAAGTGGGTATCACTGTACAGTTTACAAACACGTGTCTTTAACATGCCCCCCTCCTTATTAAAACCACATGATTAAAAACTGCACAGCATTGAAGGCTGTAAAAGAATGTCCATATAATGGGTGTGTTTTTTTTAAAGGACTTGATTTTAAACTGCTGTACCTCTGCAACCAAGACCTGCCCAGGAATGAAACTCTTTATTCCTTGAAAGAGCAGAGCATAGAGTTTGACATGATTACAGCTAGATGCCTCTCCCAACACACAAACAGCCTCCAGCACCAGTCATTTTCAAGACAGCAATCCCACAATATAAGACCTAATAAGATATTGCCCATTTGCAGAGTTATTTTTTAGATTTGTTTCTGGCTCAGAACGGCTGTAAAACATATTTGCTTGAAACTCATTAAACTATTTATAACTTTTTGCGTAACTGTAAAATGTTGCCATTGTGAAACACATTGCTTTGAAATTGGGTCCATCATTTTGAAACACACTGCACATTTAGATGTATGACTGTAACTCACATGGGAAGTGATATGCCTGTATATATATATAATAAGCGTGAAGTTCAAAGGGGTATCAATGTTTTGGTAAGAATCAGTAGCAAAACATTACTTATAGATGGCTATAACACATCTTCCTTAAGTCCTCTCCTGATACTAGGAAGCCTGTAGGAAGAATGGGTCTCACATCACATTAAATTTCAGTACAAACAGAAATATCTGACTAATTCATGGAGAACTGAGGATAAGAGATTTATATGCTACACTGTTTTAACAAAAAGCCAGATATGTTAAACATTCAGGCATGTTAAAGCCAGTTACGAAGTTCCATTCATAATGCAATACATAAAATATTAATGTAAGCTCATTTTATGTCTGGGTCTGATTCAAAGACGGTGACCCTGAAAGTAACGTAAGACAGTGATGACATCAAGCACTAACCCCTCCCGTCTGAACCTGCCTAAGTTTCATGTCAATCAATATGCTAAAATTTAATGGTTGAGTGAGGCTAAAGAAAGCATTTTAGTGGTTCTGTCCAGATTTAGGAAATTACTGGTTCTTCCCACTTCAGTCGTTTAGTACATTCAGCAATGGCTTTAATCTATAAATGCATTTTTCAAATTTCATAAGGCATTAAATTGATCTATTTCCTTAATATTTCACACCTATTTTTATTTTTCAAAAATGCACCCCAGTCTTCCAATGACAAAAGACTAGGGAGGAGGGAAAACCGCTGTTGTATTTTTATTTTATCACAGGTTTTTGAGGAGTCCAACTCACTTCCAGGACCATTTCTGAAGGCTTAGTTTTATTGATTTTACAATTTTTTCTCATACTTTATAATTTCTTTGTCATGTTTGCAGAAAGATCCTAACAATGAAGGGAGTATGAGTAAGAGGGGAAAAATAGGAAATGAGGCTACAGAATAAAACATATTAACAGTAGCCTACCCATTTCACCTGTCAGGTCCAGCATTTTAAAAAAAATTATTCATTACATTTGGCCCGGCCTCAGTTTTAAATGCGTCGTGGTGTTGTTGTCTTATGTTTATTGCTATTGTTTTTAATGTTTATTGTTTTGCTTTATGAGTTATTTATTGTTGTATTGCTATGCTGTTGTTTTATTGATGTGTTGGGCCTTGGCCTCTTGTAAGCCGCATCTAGTCCTTCGGGAGATGTTAGCAGGGTATAAATAAAGGTTAATAATAATAATAATAGCCTCTCAGTTAACTGGCACCCATGGGGATTGGTTGATGCCAGATAAATGTAGTTTCAGGTTGTTTGAGAGTTACTATTAAAATAGGCTTAACTAATACTACACTATAAACTCTGTACTGACTTGATAGTAATATTGAAATAAAGTAATTAAGAACTAATTAAAACAAACTTACATTTCTGCTAAGATTTGAATGTATTTTAATTTAAAATATTATTAGATTTTTTTTAGTTCACCTACAATCAAAGAGCATTCTGAACCGCACCAATGATAGAATTGTGTCAAACCGCCCACAGAGAACCCCCTTGACCAACGGAAAATACTGTGTTTTCTGATTATCTTTGGCGACCCCAGGTTGACAAACACTGTTCTAGGCCTTTCACATTTCAATCTTCAACAAAATCCCATCTGAAACCAGCTAGTCTTAAAAGTTCTGCAACAGTCGTTCTGAATCTTACCCATGTTCACAGTTAACACATTCAAAGACCAGTGCAGAGAAAAGGAGAAAGAAAATAACCTAGCACTAAAATCACCTTATCAGGTTATTACTTAAAAAAATGATGCAAACTGCTGAAAATAATAAAAAATAAAGTAATTGTCACAACGATGGGGAAAAAGAGGTAGAGGCCTGGATGGCTCCTTGACAAAAATATGAACTTGGGGCATAGAAATACATGCGTATGCACATAATGTATACAATTATATAACAATATAAATTGAAAAAGGAGGATAAAGAAGCGATAACAAACTTATTACCAATAGCAAGACTGCTTATAGCAAGGAATTGGAAAAAAGAAATAAATATACAAATAGAAGAGTGGTACAAGGAAGCATGGAAACTGGCAATAAATGATAAGCTTACATGTATATTAAAAGTTAAAAAAGGTATATGGAAACAAAGTGATTTTGATGTTGTATGGGGAAAATTTGTTGTAAATGGTTTAAAAAACAAAGAAGGAAAGTTACCGTCACAAGAAGAATTGAAATGTTGGACAGACGATATGTAAAAGTTGTGGCTTGAAATAGGGGGAGGGGAGCACAGTGGTGGGAAAAAAATGCTTAAGCAGAATAATAAGATTATATGTTAAAGAGTGTGTTGAATAGTATGTAACTGCTATAGCCAAACACATAACAAATGTAATAACTATGATAAAACAATAAAAATATTTTTTTAAATGAACTTGAGGCATATAAATACATGTGTATTCATATATATATGCACATAATGTATACATATGTATATAAACACACACATATGAAAAGGTGGCAAATTATAGGGTGAAAATACGAATCAGCTGCTTCTCCTTGGTTTATTAAACTCCATCTTGAAATCTTGAGAATCGATTTGATAATACTTAAATAATAAATTTTATTTCTACCTGTCTCTCCTCACGGCTCAACACAGGGTACAACATGGTTAAAACGGAGATAAAATATAATGCTATTAGGATGTATATGTTTAAAAACACGTAAGGAAGACTGACACCAAAACGAATAAAACATTAGGTTAAAGTTCACAATAATGTATTTTATAGAGGTTAGGATGGAAATATTCATAAAGTTGGCTCTAAATGATCAAAGGTGATAAGCCAAGCGTTAGGCAGGCAAGAACTGAGGCCCAGCGGCGTTAGACCGCAGGCTGCTCCACCTCCACAGGAAACCGAAAACAACTAGGCCGCAAAGCCTTGTCTCCATTGAGAGCGGCTCGCCTCAGCCGAGAGGAAAAGGATACCAGCACCAAGGCTTCAGCTGCTTCTTTTTCTTTCTTCCCATATCGTCGGCGACGGCTTCTTAGTTTACGAGGCTCGAAAAACTGACGACGACCAGCGACACCGAGACCAAAGGCTTCCCTCCCGCTCTCTCCGCCGACATCCACAAAATGGCCGCTTCGCCGCCTAACTCTCGGATTCCCAGAGTGCAATGCGCAAACGCGCGGACAGTGTCGGGTCAGAGGCGTCGCGCATTGTGCCGTCACTCTCGAAGCCCCTTCCCTGATTGGTGGAGGCGTCTTGCGGTGACACTGAAGTGTGACGTCAGAAACACTTCAGGAGGTCTGTGGTTGTTGTGGTGATTGTATTTCTAGGTGCGACAGTGTAACTCGGCTTCCCTCTGGAAATGTCCACACGAATGGGATTAGTAACTCAGGGGGCATCAATAGAATAATAGATAGGTAGATAGATATTAAGGCAGTTTGAGTCCACTTCAACTGCTATGGTTCAATGCTATGGCACCAGACCTCAGGTACAGAAGGCTGGAGACGTTGTGAAAACGACAACTCTCAGGATCCCACAGCATTGAGGCAGGGCAATTGAAATGGGACCAGACTGCATTCAGTCTACAGTGTAAAGGCACGCTCAGACCAACTGATGTTGTATTTTTCATGCCAGGAGCAAATTGAGAATATAGTTATAAGGTATAGAAAAACCACAAACAAAGTTAAAAACCTGGCAATATACTAAATTTATACAAAATTTCCTTGGACCAGAAGCTGGCCTCTTGGAGTGCCTGTGGTGTTGCTGTAAGGAGGTCCTCCATAATAATAATACGGTAATAATAAAACTTTATTTATACCACCACCACCTCCCCAACGGGACTCGGGGTGGCTTACATGACGCCAAGCCCAGCAATACAACAATGCAAATGTACAACATAAAAATACAACAATAAAATATAAGAAAATAAGATAAAATACAAGAAACCGTATAAATAAACACATCAAAACAATATAAAATCACAATATTTGAACACAGAACGTTGATCACAGTGGGCAGGGCCAGTTGCAGAGATTAAAAGTTTAAAAACACGGGGCAAGAGAGCAATGTATAGAATCATAGAATCCTAGAGATGGTCCAACCCCCTGCCAAGAAACAGGAATATTGCATTCAATTCACCCCTGACAGATGGCCATCCAGCCTCTGTTTAAAAGCCTCCAAAGAAGGAGACTCCACCACACTCTAGGGCAGAGAGTTCCACTGCTGAACGGCTCTCACAGTCAGGAAGTTCTTCCTCATGTTCATATAGAATCTAATTTCTTGTAGTTTGAAGCCATTGTTCCGCATCCTAGTCTCCAGGGAAGCAGAAAACAAGCATGCTCCCTCCTCCCTATGACTTCCCCACACATATGTATACATGTCTCCTCACAGCCTTCTCATAGGGCTTGTTCTCCAGACCCTTAATCATTTTAGTCACCCTCCTCTGGACACATTCCAGCTTGTCAATATCTTTCTTCAATTGTGGTACCCAGAACTGGACACAGTATTCCAGGTGTGGTCTAACCAAAACAGAATAGAGGGGTAGCATTACTTCCCTACATCTAGACACTACACTCCTATTGATGCAGGCCAAAATCCATTGGCTTTTTTTGCCGCCACATGACATTGTTGGCTCATGTTTAACTTGTTGTCCATGAGGACTCCAAGATCTTTTTCACACATACTGCTTTCGAGCCATGTGTAATATATCTGGACAGGGGATCCCAGGGATGAAGTAGGGTTTAATTGCACTAAAGGGTAAAATAAAGTGCTTCCAAAGGCATTTTATGTAGGGTCAGGTCAGGTCAGGAATTATTGTTCATTCATTCATTGAAGGCACACTGGAACAGCCAAGCTTTCAGGCTCTTCCTGAAGACTGCCAGGGTGGAGGCTTGCCTAATTTCTCTGGGGAGTGAGTTCCTGAGCCGAGGGGCCACCACAGAGAAGGCCCTCTCCTTTGTCACCACAAGTCGCACTTGCGAAGGGGGCGGGATCGAGTGAAGGGCCTCTCTGGAAGATCAAAGGGCTCGTGTAGGTTTGTAAAAGGAAATGCGGCCACAATGTGGCAGGGCTCAGATCACAGTAATTGGTCTGTGGTTTGCTCTTCCCCACACTTGCATGTCATGAGCTCCACTTTGTGGCCCCATTTCTTAAGGTTGGCTCTGCTCTCGTGCCAGAGCGCAGTCTGTTCAGCGCCTTCCAAGTTGCCCAGTCTTCTGTGTGCCCAGAAGGGAGTCTCCCATTTAGTATAAGCCACTGATTGAGACTGGGTTATAACCTGCCACTTTTGGACTGGCTTGCTGAGGTGTTCCTTCAAGTATCTCTGTACATACCAACCAGGCAGGAAGCAGCCAGGCTTTGAAGCTACAAAGCCATTCAATCCTAATCAAGGTAGCCAATTGCGACATTTACAAGCAGACAAGAGTTCTTTCTCCCACCTTGGACATTCCACAGATATATAAACCTCCCTTGCCTAGTTTTCAACAGACCCCTCATCCTCTAAGGATTTTCTTTTTGTCGTGTCAGGAGTGACTCCTGGTGTGAGAGAATTGGCCGTCTGCAAGGATGTTCCCAGGGGACCCTAGGATGATTTGATGTTTTTATCATCCTTGTGGGAGGCTTCTCTCATGTCCCCGCATGAGGAGCTGGAACTGATAGAGGGAGCTCATCCGCCTCTCCTTGGATTCGAACCTGCGACCTGTCGGTCTTCAGTCCTGCCGGCACAGGGGTTTAACCCACTGCGCCACCGGGGGCTCCCATCCTCTAAGGATGCCTGCCATAGATGTGGGAGAAACGTCAGGAGATTATGCTATACAGCCTGGAAAACACACAACAACCCAGTGATTCCGGCCATGAAAGCCTTCGACAATACATTGATTCGTAACCCCTTTGATACTAATGTTGGAAAGTGGCCTCCTGCCAAGTGGTCCCTGGTCAAAAAAGGGTTGGAAACCACTGTTCTACAGCATTGATGCACTCCGGAACGATAGTAACGGTGCGGAGAGCTGGAGGGACCGAATAGAACGCAACACTGTACGGCAACGGGGGAAGGGGTTTTCCTTGCTCCCAGCCCTGAAACAAGGCAAAGATGTTGCCTTCCCTCCAGCTGTCTGTTGACGGAGATGAGAGGGAACTGGAGAGCAGCGAGGAGGGGGGCGGCTTGCCGGAGGAACGGAAGCCGGAGCGCAGCAGCAACAGCTACTACTGTTTGTACGGCTATCAAGGCTGCCGGTGAGGAGGAGGAGGAGGAGGGCTTGGCGGCGGCGGCAGGGCGGGAGCTGGGCCTTCTCTCGGGAAGCTTTCTCCGACGTAGCTTCTCCAGCTTACCCCAGGGAAGACGGTGGCCCTTCTTGGCCAAACCCCCTTCGGTTTTACGTGGCACGGACCTGCGTTTGTCATGAGAGCTTGAACGCCCAGGCTCTGGCGACTTTAAGAAAAAGAGAAAAGCAAATGAATGACCTAAACGTATCTGATTTACCTTTGTTAAGCACTAAATACTCTAGGCACAGGGTCGTGTCAGTGGTTGAACGCTACAGTGCATCTACGCAGCACAACTTATGCATCTATGACAGGCATCCTCAGAGGTTGGGAGGTCAGACTTCACAACCTCTGAGGATGCTTGCCACAGATGCAGGAGAAACGTCAGGAGAGAATGCTTCTAGAACATGGCCATACAGCCCGGAAAACCTACAACAACCCAGTGATTCCAGCCATGAAAGCCTTTGACAATACAGTTTCACACCCCTTTAACTGGTATGGTTCAAGGCTATGGAATTATAAGAGTTGTAGTTTTACAAGGTTTTTAGTTTTCTTTGCCAAAGAGTGCTGATTCCCCACAAACTATAACTTCTAGGACCCCATAGCATTTTAAAAAAATCATGTCAGAAGCGACATGAGAACAGACTGCAAGTCGCTTCTGGTGTGGGAGGATTGGCTATCTACAGAGACGTTGCTCAGGAGATGCCCAGATGTGTTACCATCCTGCTGGGAGGCTTCTCTCATGTCCCTGCAAGCTAGAGCTGACAGACGGGAGCTCACTCCGCTTCATTGATTCGAACCGGCAACCTTCAGGTCCAATAGTATGGAGCCATGGCAGATAAAGTGGCATTAGACTGCATTTGTTCGACAGTGTAGATGCACCCTAAATAGGGTGATTAGGAGTTGAAGAGAGACCACCAACAAATATCAAGGTGTGTGTAGACTCTACAGATGCACAGATTCAACCACCAATAGCGTTTAGAACATTAAAAAAGAACTTGATAGTTACTCTTTTGTATGCCACTGCCCTTAATGTGACCAAGTTCAATTTTGTCCAGCACATTTCTGTTTTCCTTGTGTTCTCGTTGTCCATCCAGCATCTCAATATTGTTGCAATCTTTTACGACAGCAACCTTCTATGAATTATTGTATTTTAAAATAATTCTAGGCAAAAGCAAGTGGCCACCATTGTTGTATCTCGGGGCACCAAAGTCTGTTAATAGAATTAATAATTGTATTTAACTTTATTAAAATTGTATTTATTAAAACCTGGGCTGCTTGGGGAAGGGATGGATTATGTTTTGGTGTCTTTAAACCAAAGTTGGATGAACATCTTTCAGGGTGGATCTGTCTTGTAGAATTCATGCAGTTTGACACCACTTTAATTACCATGACTCCATGCTACGGGTTCCTGGTAGCTATAATTTGTTGGGGCATAAGCAAAGACCTTGTAAAACTACAACTCCCATGATTCCATAGCCATGGCAGTTAAAACAGTATGAAACTGCATTAGTTTTGCTGTGTAGATGCACCCTTTGGCAAAGAAGGCTAAAGACCGTACAAAACTACAAGTTCCAGGATTCCATAGCATCAAAGCATCTCAGTCGTATCAAACTACATTCTTTCTACAATGTAGCTGCATCCTTGGAAGTGTTTTATCCGTGTATTGCTGCATAAAATGGTTGGACAAGAAAGGTCTTGGGGTACCTAAGACAATGTATATCTCAGGTATGAGAAAACTTGGGCCCTCCGGGTGTTTTGGACTTCAACTCCCTCAATTCCTAACAGCCTCATGCCCCTTCCTTTTCCCTTTCCTGCTTAAGTGGCTGAGAGGGAGAAGGAAAGGACCTGATGTTGTTAGGAATTGTGGGAGTTGAAGTCCAAACCACCTGAGGGCCCAAGTTTACCCATGGCTGGTGTATCCCAATGTAAAACCTGCTGATTGCAATTTACCACCACACCTTGTGGCACTCAGTTCTGTTGTTCTCATGTATGATTTGGGAAGTGATTATAGATGTTTTAAACAGGTAATTACACTTAATTATGCATCTGTGAAAAAGAGTCCCATGGCTCTCTAAAAAACTAACATAGTTATTATAAGTAAGCTTTTTGGATTCTCACTAGCCATGCATCTTTGGTTATCTACTGTGTATCAAGCTAAGCAACAGATCATCCCAATGCTTATCAAACTGACTTGGCAGACTGGTAATTGTGTTGCTAAATACTACTGACTTTGTGCCATATTATCATTATATTAACATGCAGGCATATGTATTTATATAGTGCAATGGCCTGTATACCAGCACTGGGCCACCAACCACCACTTTGACAGTCATTGCCTTAGCCGACATTCTGCTTGCCACAGCTTTAGATGAACCTTCCATGAAAGAGTCTCCAACAGTTTGTTCATTACACTATGTAGCACAGTTTTTGTTCCTGGGTTATAAATGTAATTTCCTAATTGGTTCTATCATTTAAAAAAACATGGAAAAAGTTTATTAAATGGCAAAACATTGTTTTTGCGGGACACCCTGCAGCACATTTTGCTATAATTTTTCAATGAATATCTCATAGTCTCCACCAATTCAATATAGTTTGTGGCAACCACAAAAACAAAATTTCTGGAGTATAACAACTACTTTCAAAGTAACTACCACAAAATTGTGGTGTTGGAGGAAAGTTCTGAGAGTGCCTTGGAGTGCAAGAAGATCCAACCAGTCCATCCTCCAGGAAATAAAGCCCGACTGCTCATTGGAGGGAAGGATACTAGATACAAAGTTGAAGTACTTTGGCCACATCATGAGGAGACAGCAAAGCCTAGAGAAGACAATTATGCTGGGGAAAGTGGAACGTTAAAGGAAGAGGGGCCGACCAAGGGCAAGATGGATAGATGGCATCCTTGAAGTGACTGGACTGACCTTGAAGGAGCTGGGGGTGGTGACGGCCGACAGGGAGCTCTGGCGTGGGCTGGTCCATGAGGTCACGAAGAGTCGGAGACGACTGAACGAATGAACAACAAACCACAAAATTAAACAGGAAATAACACTTTCAAACTAGGAACAGATTTTTTTTTCCAAATTTTGTTACATAGTGTTATTGTACGCAAACTTAGGTGTGCCCTGAACCTTGATTTCAATGGGCACAGATAAATTTTCTCCAACCATCTTCACTTCCAATATGGCTAAGGAAGATTGGGATTGTTTGTAGTACAATGCTTTGGAATGTATTGTCGAAGGCTTTCATGGCTGGAATCACTGGGTTGTTGTAGGTTTTTCGGACTGTATGGCCATGTTCTAGAAGCATTCTCTCCTGATGTTCATCTGCATCTATGGCACGCATCCTCAGAGATTGTGAGGTCTGGCGAAACATCAGGAGAGAATGCTTCTAGAACATGACCATATAGCCCAAAAAACCTACAACAACCCAATGCTTTGGAATGGCATCAAGTTAGAGACCTTTGGATTAGATGCTCCAAACTCTTTTAAGAGTCAACTGTTACTGGATTTTCCCCAGCTTTATGGAGTACTCTTTGATCTGGAGTCAGCAAAACTTTATACCAGGGATGAGAGCAAATGATCTCCCAGTTCTTGCTGAATATGCAACTTTCATTATGTCTCAGCATTAGGGCTGATAGGTGTACTCCAATAACATCTAGACCAGAGCTTTCCAAAAACTTCATGCTGGTGACACAGTCTTTAAACATGCATCCTTTTCATGACGCAGTAATTCAGTTTTACTAGCAAACCGGAGGTTAAACCCACCCATTATGAGAGATATGGTCACATAAATTGTAATGGTGAAATGTATGTATGGGGGACACAACATCCCTCATGAAAACAATTCATTTGTATTTTTAAAATATATATATATGATTTATTGCTTCAGCAGTTTCTTGTTATGTTCATGTGATACACCTGCACACTACAGCTGACACATTAATTTGTTGCAGCACATAGTTTGGACAGCTCCCAACTGTTCTCTATTTTTTAAAATACTTCTAATAAATATTTTAAATATATTGGCATAGGTGTCTAAAATGCAGATGTGTGCTTTTCATCTTAAGAACAGGCATGCATCTCAAATGCTGAGGATTACTTGGGAAGGAATCCCACTGGAGCATTGCAGCACACCAACATATCTGGGAGTAACTCTGGACCATGCTCTGAATTACAAGAATCACTGCTTGACTATCAAGCAAAAAGTAGATGCCAGAAATAATATCATATGAAAGCTGACTGGCACAACCTGGGGATGAAAACCAGAAACAATGAAGACACCTGCCCTTGCGCTTTGCTGCTCTGCTGCTGACTACGCATGCCCAGTGTGGATCACATCTCACCACGCTAAAACAGTGGATGTGGCTCTTACTATTTCATCACACTAGAGAAAAAAATCCACTTAAAATCTTGTTTCTGCCTTCTGCAGAATTCTGGGGTTTGTAGTTTAGTGAGGCTGTTAAAGGCTCCTCCCTAAACTATAAACCCCAGAATTTAGCAGGAAGCAGAAACTGGATTTTAAGTGGATTTTTTCTCAAGTGTGATGAGGCCCTTAATGAGACATGCTGCATTATCACAGGATGTCTACACCATACACCACTGGAGAAATTATACTGTTTAGCTGGTATTGGTCTACATGACATCTGCCAGATATTATCAGCCCGTAATAAAAGGACCAAGGCATTGACATCTCCAGCCTATCCTCTGTTCAAATATCAGCCAGCAAGCCAATGCCTTAAATCAAGAAATAGCTTCCTAAGATCTACAGAGATACTTGCAGGAACACCTCAGCAAGTGAGAGTTCAAAAGTGGCAGATTATAACCCGGAACCTCAATCAGAGGCTGATACCGAATGAGAAACTTCCTCCTGGGCACACAGAAGACTGGGTGATTTGGAATGTGCTGAACGGACTGCGCTCTGGCACCACAAGATGCAGAGCCAACCTTAAGAAATGGGGCCACAAAGTGGAGCCCATGACATGCAAGTGTGGAGAAGAGCAAACCACAGACCACCTACTGCAATGCAACCTGAGCCCTGCCACATGCACCATGGAGGTCCACCTTACAGCCATACTAGAGGGATGCCAAGTGCCCAGCTTCTGGTCAAAGGAAATTTAGTATAATGACAAGTTTTTAAACTTTGTGGTTTTCATACATTATAACAGTATTCACTTTGCTTTGCCTTTTCCAGGTTAACTCAGGGAGGAGAAAATGATGATGGGAGTCCAAGCAGTACTTCGGCTGAATCCCCATCTTCTGATGATTTCAGGTAAACCAGGATGGCAAAATGGTTTAATTTTCTAAATTCCTTTCTATTAATTCATATTGCTATTTGTTGTATGTTGTATGTTTCAAGTCATTTTTGACATGCCAACCCTAAAGTGACACATTCATGGGATTTTCAGATTTGTTCAGAGTGAGTTTCTTTTGAGGCCGAGAGAGTATGATTTACCCAAGGTTGTCCAGTCGCTTTCCATGGCTGAGAACTCTTGTCTCTTGGAGGCAAATGTGTATGTTGCAATTGGCCATCTTGATTAGCATTGAATGGCCTTGCAGCTTCAAAGCTTGGCTGCTTCCTGCCTTGAACATTCACTCTTTCCTCAAACAGACAAGAGTTTTTTCTCCCACCTGGATATTCCACAGATATATAAACCCCACTTGTCTAGTTTCCATCAGACCCCTCAACCTCTGAGGATGCCTGCTATAGATGTGGGCAAAATGTCAGGAGACAATACTTGTGGAACATTGCCATACAGCCCAGAAAACTCAAAGCAACCCAGTGATTCTGGTCATGAAAGCCTTTGACAACACATTAACAGTGTATTGTTTGTTTTTTATTTGTAAAGCCTGTCTTTGGTGGACACTAACTTACCCCCTGAAGCAGAGATGGAGCTGCGCAGTTATATTGCCAAACAGTTTGCAAAGGGGTCCTTCTTTGAAGGAATGGGCAACGTTACATCAGTGGAGTTGAGGTAAGAGTAAGCATACTGAGTGTTTCTTCTTCCAAAGTGAAATGATTCTACATTAGAAGTAGATGTTATGGTAGATGTTACTGCTGCCCAAACAATTGCTTCTTCTCTTCCTTTCACCCTGACAAAGCACTCCATGCAATGTCATCAGGCGCGCATCTAAACATTTCGAAGCAGGGTACCGCAACCATGAAACACATTTTATGAAAGTTACATAATCCATATAATCAATATACTGAGCCCCTGGTGGCGCAATGGGTTAAACCCTTGTGTCAGCAGGACAGCTGACCAAAAGTTCAGTGGCTTGAATCCGGGGAGCAGGGTGAGCTCTCGTCTGTCAGCTCTAGCTTCTCATGCGGGGACATGAGAAGCCTCCAACAAGGATGGTAAAACATTAAATATCCGGACGTCCTCTGGGCAACTTCTTTGTAGACGGACAATTCTCTCACACCAGAAGTGACTTGCAGTTTTTTCAGTTGCTCCTAACATGAAATAAATCAAAATACTAAAAATCAATCTACTAAATCTGCATTAGTTATCACATATTCACTCTGCATCTGGAAGGCTTTCAAAAATAGGAATGCCTTCAACATGAATCTCAAACTGAGAATTGTCAGTTTGTTATTTGTTAGAAGATTATGAGCTTCCTTTGCTTGCTTTACTTTTTTGCTACTTGTGAAAAGAGGAGATGAAGCTCTGTGTGTTTTTGGTAGAGGAGTCATCTCAACTTTAGCATAATGGCAAAAGGAAATACCTTTACAAATGTTATGGTACCATAAATTATAACACAAATATAGGTTGTATTTGGTTTGATAAAAGTATTTTGGTTCTGAAATTTTCCATTTGTCTGATGCCCTTGAAAAAAATTACTTCTCTAGATGGCAGTATAAAGTTCTTTGAAACCATTCTCTTTCCAAGAAAATATGAGAATACCTCATCTTGCAGTGTTTCTGTTATTATTTTCATGTCACTGTGTGCTGCAAAACATAGCAGGTGCTGGAGTCATTAAAATACACAAACTGTTGACTCTCCCTTTTTTATCAACAGAAGTGTCTATATGGCAAAAAAAAAAAAGAAATAGAAAGAGATAGCATGTGCTTTAATGACTAACTCCAAGTCAGAAGATGTGCTTTCCCTAAGGTCTTAATAAATGTTCTTACATTAAGTATGCGCCCCATTGTGCTTCAGCAGAGCAGTGAATTTGAGGCAGAGAAGCCAGTGCTTCTGGGAGATCAAAGATTTGCAGTATGCACTTTAAAAAGGCCTGTTTTCAACCCCAATGCATGTGGATCATCACAATTGATATCGGAACAAGAGCAGAGCTTGCTGTGCCCACTCAGGGAGACCTTTCCTCATGGATCTGTTGTCACTACTTTTAAGAAAAAGTATAAACCTAGGAAATCAATCACAGCCTTTAATTTGACTCTCTGCAGAAAGGAGAAAAAGTTGCAAACCAGCTTTTTTCTGTGTGCTTCTTTGTTCTAAACTGAGTGCTAGCTTCCGTTTCTGATTTAGTTCACATTCTACATAAATATGCCTCTTTCTCTATGAATGCTTTTGGCTATTAAAGCAAAAGGGACTCCAAGGGACATCTAGTTCAACCCCTTTCATCCAGGCAGAAATGCAAGCTATAGAGCTCTCACATTGGCAGCTCTGCACACAGGCCATCTCTACTGACCATATAATGTAGTCTTAAACCAAAACTGGTTTCACTATGCAGATTTTTCCATAGGAAATCCTGGAAACAGTATGAGGCCTGGATGGTGATGCCACAAACCACAGTGCACTGATGTGCACTAAAGGTGTTTTTTGTGCTCTTTTGTGGGAAGTTGTTGTCTGCTCGCTGCAGTATGAAGCTTACTTCAAACTGCATTAAATGGTCTGTGTAGAGCAGTGGTTCTCAACCTGTGGGTCCCCAGATGTTTTGGCCTTCAACTCCCAGAAATCCTAACAGCTGGTAAACTGCCTGGGATTTCTGGGAGTTGTGGGCCAAAACATCTGGGGACCCACAGGTTGAGAACCACTGGTGTAGATGGCGCTCCATGCAGTCATGCTGGCCACATGACCTTGGAGGTGACTACGGACAACACTAGCTCTTCGACTTAGAAAGGGAGAGATGAGCACCCTCCACCAGAGTCGGACACTACTAGACTTTATGTCAGGGGAAACCTTTGCCTTGTAGATAGGACCATAGAGAGGAACATTTGCAGCTTCTCTTGGCCCTCGATCACGTGCCAGAGAGTGTAAATGATATGATTGTAGCCTAAGTGTTTATATAGTTAGGAAATTAGAATGGCTTTTCAGCGAGGAAGAAAAATCTCAATTATTTTTAGAATGGCAACATCTTAAAAGGCAAACTATCCTGCGCTAGTGTGACAGCACAATCCTGTTTGACTACTTAGACGTATGTGACATGGAATTCAGTGGGATTTACTCTCAGGTCAACAAATACAGGATTTCAGTTTAAAGTTCCTTGCCATCTGCTACTTTAAAAAAAACTTTTTAAAATTGCCATCTGTCACTTTTAACATTAAAAATGCATTTCCTGATTAATTATGGAAGCCTTCTTAGTTGATTAAAAGAATATTTAATCCATCTATCTAGCTAGTTAATCAGCTGGTCATCGCATCCCTCCAACAGGCAAATCAGACACAGAGGGCACAAGACAAAATCAGTGCTTTTAGTGTAAATGACTATCAGATTGATCTACCTCCCATTCTGTTCCATGATACGGAGGGAAAGTGGTTATAGGTGAGTAAGAAGACAACATGACTTCTCCTCTCCCCCCATTTGCACTCCTCAAATAGAGGACTGGGGGGGGGGGGGGATAGGATTGTGCAAATGAACTAGAAGCGCGTTCTCCCCGGACTTCTGTTTCCCACTGCCTTTAATCCTGTCAAGCTGTTTCACAAAAACATGCCAAAGAGAAAGGATTATCAGTGGGGCAGGGGAATCACCTCTTTCAGGGAATGGATTTAGCCTAGCAAACTAATTCAGCCATTCCTGATCTGATGCCCCTTAGATGTTTCAGAGTCCAGCTGCCACCATGGTGTGGATATTGGGAGTTATAGTCTGAGGCCTTCAGGTTGCCAGATGACGGGAGGGTGATTCATTGTTGACTCTTGAGAACCAATTAGAAAAACAGAATCTTAGAGTTGGAAGAGACCTTGTGGGCCATCCAGTCCAACCTCCTGCTAAGAAGCAGGAAAATCGCATACAAAGTACCTCCGACAGATGGCCATTCAGCCTTTGTTTAAAAGCCTCCAAAAAAGGAGCTTCCACCACACTCCGGAGCAGAGAGTTTCACTGCTGAATAGCTCTCACACTTAGGAAGTTTTTCCTAATGTTCAGGTGGAATCTCCTTTCCTGTAGTTTGAAGCCACTGTCCTAACACTTCATCACACTAGAGAGAGAAAAATCCACTTAAAATCTGGTTTCTGCCTCCTGCAGAATTCTTGGGTTAGTGAAGCTGTTAAAGGCTCCTCCCTAAACTACAAACCCCAGAATCCTTCAGGAGGCCAAAACCAGATTTTAAGTGGGTTTTTTTTTCTCTAGTGTGATGAGGCCCCTAGTCTCCAGGACAGAAGAAAACAAGCTTGATCCCTCCTCCCTGTGACTTCCCCTCACATTTTTATACATGACCCTCATCAGATCTCCCCTCAGTCTTCTCTTCTTCAGGCTAAACATGCTCAGCTCTTTAATAATTATGTCAGGAGATGAAGTGGAAACTGCACCTACTTCCAGTACAAACATGTCCAGTTCTTTAAGCTGCTCCTCATAGGGCTTGTTCTCCAGACCTTGATCCTTTTAGTCACCCTCTTCTGGACACATTCCAGCTTGTCAACATCTCTCTTCTGACCAAGGCAGAATAGAGGGGTAGCATGACTCCCTGGATCTAGACACTATACTATTTATGCAGCCCAAAATCCCATTGGCTTTTCAAGCTGCCACATCACAGTGTTGGCTCATGTTTAACCTGTTGTCCACAAGGACTCTTTTTCTCACGCACTGCTGTTCAGGCGTCCCCAATCTGTACATTTGCATTTCATTTTTTTCTTCTGAGATTTCTTTTGTGATAACAGTTTTATTAAAAAGGTCCAAGATATTTTCTCTTCAAAATGTTTTTAGTTTACTCCAGAATGGATGGTGAAGAGAAGAACAATTTTTGCACTCTCCAGAAGCTAATCTTGGGCCAAAGAGGTGTGGAGATACACAGTCCATCTACACTGTAGAAATAATGCATATCAACTATGCTATGGAATCCTAGAAGTTCTTTAAGCTTTTCTGCAAAAGATTAGTGGTACCTCACCAAACTACAAATCCCAGGATTCCAGAGCATTAAGACAAGGCAGTTAAACTGGTGTCAAACTGCATTAATTCTACAGTGTAGATGTACCTAAAGACTTGAGGCAGATTGAAAACATGAATGGAAATTTAAAAATGCTGTAGTGACTAGAATAAAATGCCTGTGTGCAGTCTAGATTTTTGCTTTTCATCAAATGGGAACAATAATGTGATCAATGAGAAGACAAATTGTAACAACATTAAAGATAAAATAGAGCTTATTTGGTACAACTATTGTGTAATTAATTCGGTACTTCTCATGTCAGTATACCAGAAAGCCGAGTTGGTTGTTATTACTGTCTGCTCCAACCAGAAAAATCTACAGAAACAGGAAACCTGGAATCAAGCGACAGCGCCTTGGACTACGTGGTCTGTTTTTTGGGAGGCTCAGAGAAGGGGCTTGAGCTATATCCTTTTATTGTGTTTGTGTGTGTGTGTGTGAGAGAGAATGAATGTTAAGACAAAAATGTCATGGTTCCCAATTCAAAGTAATGTGCTAGCATCACTGAATCAGCCCAACATGTTGATGGCTGAGCAAACATTTATTTAGATTTCTGAGAGCTCATACAGATGATTAAATCTAAATCTAAAGTAAATGTTCAGCCCATTTCTCTCCAGGCCTGTATTGGAAAGTCAGAAGACAGCAAGCTTGAATGAAATCAAGACCCAGCGTATTATTTTTCCCCAACTTCTGTGTTTTCAAAAGTTGATCGCAGTTGTAATAGCAAACACAACAGGTCCAAAATTGTATTGTCGAAGGCTTTCATAGCTGGAATCACTGGGTTGTTGTGAGATTTTTGGGCTGTATGGTTATGTTCCTGAAGCATTCTCTCCTGACATTTCACCTGCATCTATGGCAGGCATCCTCAGAGGTTGTGAGGTCTGAGGATGCCTGCCATAGATGCAGGCGAAACATCAGGAGAGAATGCTTCAGGAACATGGCCACACAGCCTGAAAATTCACAACAATCCAGATCCAAAATTGTTTTTCAATGTCTATTGTTTTTCTTTTTAAAAAAACAAACAGCTGAGCTAATAAATAATACTTCTGATGACTCAATTCACAATCCTTGAGTGAATACTGAATATATAATTATATATAACATAAATGAAGGGCCCAGGAGCATACATTAAGGCACGCCGTGGTGGATATTTAAGATCCCTGAACAGATGCATAGGTCATTTCCTTAAGAGCTTACGTTCAGACTTGAGCTTGACAGATATGTTCAAGACCTGAAGATTAACCTAGATTCAGAGGTAAATGTTGATTGCTATTTTGTAAATAACAAAGTTATGTAATCTTTTCCTATTTGTAAATGAAATGGGTTTTTAGTAGTGCTTATTTAAAAAAGCCCCTCTAGTACATGCAGATTCAATTGTGTTTTCCTTCTCATATTTTGTTTTCCCACCCCTTGTGTACATGTGTGTACTCTTTCAAGTCAATATATGGCACCCTCATTAATTTTTCATAGGGTTTTCTTAAGTAACAAATACTCAGAATATTTGGTTTGGTTCATTCCTTTCTTTGAAATATAGCCTACCAGACTAATTCAGTTTTATTCCTAGGAACAAGAAGTAGTTGCAGAGCATAGGGAAGAGATGCTTATGTCTCATTCAGACACAGAGTCAGAGGTTGTATAACATGATTGCTTGAGTCTCTTGTTTGAACAACTCTGCAAATTGTTCCCTATCTGCTAATAATTTATGCACTTTGAGGGGTAAAGAATCAATAACCTTCTCCCATCTTTACTGACAAAAGAGGCAATTGAATGATAGACAAAAGCCATTGGCAAAAGACCAAAGTAGTAGTGTGAGATTTGTAATTTACAGCTGCTAGTCTTACAATGTAGAGAACTACAGTGTAGGAAAAACATAGCATTTAGTCACGCACATTGTTTAGTGTCAGCCCAGGTGCATGGAAGAGCCAGGACTCCCTCTGTTCAGCATCTTTCTTTCTGTCTTTGTTAATTGTTTCATTTAATTAAAACATTTTTGCTTCTGTCTCCTTGTGTTCAAAAAGCAAGGATCGACAAATATTACCCCACATTTCCTTTAACTTAATCACGTCATCAATTTTATTAAGTATTTGTAAACAAGACCATTAAAGCTGAATATACGTTCTGGTTCACATGGCACTTACAGTCTAGGGAAGTGCAAATATTGACATCAGAATCACTTGCGGGAAAACATTAGCAACCCTCATTGTAATCTCACTGATACTCCAACAACTGCGGAAGGCTGTCTATGTACTTGGGTTGGGTTGCAGTATGAACCACTTTTGCTCCTCAGGGGAATTTCAAACTGTTTCTACAAATAAGCAATTCTTCCATTTGCTACAGGAAAATAACTTGGAAACCTGCATAAAACCTTTCCTCGGAACGTGGTTTGAGGATTCAGTCTGCCCAATTCAGAGAGTGGTACAGCTTTTCCAGGAGAAACTTGCATTTCTCTTACATGCTGTGAGTAGTGTACAGATTCAGATTTCCTGGATTGTTTTCACCCACGAGTATTTAACACTGAAAAAGAAAAATCAAAGCAGAAGTAGCAATTACCAATTAATTTACTAATTACGAAACAAGGTTTAGCAAAAGTATGGGCAGAATCAGGTTAGCTGCTGATTCCGCTCAAAATGTGCACCTTCACATGAGTGTATATCACTAGAATCATGCAAAAAACATGCTTTCCTTCCCTTCCCCCTGTGTGGACTGCTCCGGCGCACATGTGCTTTTTAAAGCCTGAAACAGCTTTTTGGCTGTCAAAAATGTAAGCACAGACACACAGGTGACTGAAGGGAAGCAGAACTGGAAAGCAATCAGAACTCTCTGCAACCATTTCTTCCTTTCTTATAATATTAAACAGAGCTTGAATTAATAGTTGGGCGAAGAAAGAGATAAGAAATCTGCTTGTGTGTACATTGGCATCTTTTCATGTGCTCATACGAGGTCCAACACATCTCTGAGAGAATTAAAAAAAAAACTTCTGCCGGATGTCCCGTCCCCCCTCCGTCTTGATCTGTTTCATAGTTGAATTTTACTTGCATGCATTTACAGTGAAATAGTACAGAGGCACATAGTGACCTGATTCCTATTGTTAGTCCCGGTACTGTTCCATTATCCATGTGGACTCCAAAAGGGAGCCTAGACAGAGAAGGATAGTCCTGGGGGGGCTTGTAGGAAGAAAACTATTTCCCCCTTTTTCCTGTTATTCCCATGTCATAAATGATGGTTGTTTCCACAACAGCGACATGGTCTCAGGAAAATAATAGGAAAACAGGGAAATGCTTTTATTCCTTCACCCTCCCCCCCATAAAATGGATTATCCTTCTCTATCTAGGCCCCCTTTTGGATTCCACCCAGATAATGGAACAGTACCTTAGTCCCAAATAGAGATCTACCGAATCAACAGGATTTACCTATATGTTGATACTAATTGGCAGTCTAATCAGTATGATTCACACCACAAATTTGTATTCTGTGGTTTTTGGCTCAGGGACTAAGAAAGGAGTTTGCATTTGAATGTACAGTGGGATAAACTGATGCATGCAGGTTAGGAGGACTTTTTGCCTTAGGATTATCCCTTCAATCTGTGTCAATATATAATGCACTGACACTATCACGTTCCTATTTCAAGGCTCTGAGTTGCACCCCAGTTGAAGTCAAAGACTCTGATGGAATGACAAAAAAGGATATTCACAAGTAAGGAAACCTATCAATAGAATCTTTCCTACCTTGTTACATGGCGTCTGCCTTGTCGAATGAAAGACTATCAAAAAAATAGAAACCATCACATTCTGTTGCAGGTTTCTTAGAGCAGCAAGCCTTCAGGATCTTGTCCGGGAAACCACAATGGCTTCATTATGTACAGCAATGACCGAAGGACACAAACCAGTGGAGATAGATTGCAATGGACCACAGCTGCAGTTCCATAATGCAGGTGGGCTTCCAGGTGGAGATGTGTTTAGGTGTTACTCATTTTCACAAGAATTATTAATAATAAGAAATGATGGACATCACCGTTTATTGTCACTCTCACAAATTGCAGCATTTGAGGGGAATCTGCTTAACCAGTCTGCTCCTAACAAAGAGTTTAGTGGGAGGGAAATTGAATACTAGAGATCTTGTAGTTCTAGGCAAGCACACGACGACAACAACAATCCTATCTCATCAGCCAAAAGCAGGCCCACACTTCCCATTGACATACTGATAAGTTTATATTTCTTAAAATTGTTCTTCATTTTAGTTATTGTATTGTTTTAAGTGTTTTTGCACTATACATAAGATATGTGCAGTATGCATAGGTATTCATTCATTTTTTTTACAAATTATAATCCAGCCCTCCAACAGTTTGAGTGACTATGACCTGGCCCTCTGTTTAAAAAGTTTGAGGACCCCTGGTGTAGAGATTACAAGAGCTTGCATATATTTCTCAGTGCTTTTAATTGGCCCAACAAAGCTATTGCAGTAAGTAAGTAAGTAAATTAATAATAAAACTAATAATAAATAAAATAATAATAAATAAACAGTAATACAGGTTTTGGGATTTTTTTGACTCAATGCTCTGTTATAAGGCCATGGTGTAGAAAATCAAGCTTCACAACCTGCCCTCCGTCATTGGCAATTGCCTTCTGCATCAATTAGATCCTGGATGTGAGAGAAGTCTTGATAGTTTCTGGAAAGTCCAAAAGCTATTCTCCTTGCGTGGTATTCTGGGCCACATGTACCATTCTCTTAATACTTTCCCAGTTACAGATACTTATTTTAAAAGTTTTTCTGTTTGCTTATAAGTATTAATGGAAGGCTGATGACCTACCTGCAAAATCCTGAAGAAGTGCAACTCCAGATGAGAACGTGTCGCCAACTCTTCTTTCCTTTGTAAAATAGCAAAAGTGAATGACTCTGTCAACCACTGCCATTTCAGGAACTATAAACAGTTTCCCCTGTATTTTTATTTTATTATTTTTTTTTCAGAACTCTGGAATGTTTCTCAGATTCTCATATTTATGTTGAGATACTACAGCATATTGTGTTCATCCCAAAATACTCCCCCCCCCCCCCCCCCCAAATCTTTTAGGTGGAAACAAGTTCTGTGAAGACTGGATGCAGGCATTTCTGAACGGTCCTGAAGGAGGAAACCCATTTCTTTTCCAGCAGATACTGGAGAACTTTAAACTGAAGGTACATCACTACCAATATGTATGGGGTGGGGAATGCGGGTGTCTTTGCACAGATGTTTTTTTTATTGAGGCAGTATAAAACATCAAGCTTCTCTGTGGGCATGAGCTATAGAAGTAGGATCCTTCAGACCTCCAAATATTCATAGAATCATTGAGTTGGAAGAGATCTTGTGGGACATCTAGTCCAACCCCCTGCCAAGAAGCAGGAAATTGCATTCAAAGCACCCCCGACAGATGGCCATCCAGCCTCTGTTTAAAAGTTTATTGATGAACCTGTTTGAGTAATGCTTCACCATTGGCTAGGTTTGCCAAGGCAGATAGAAATTATGATTTAGCAATGCAATAATATAATATAATTGCAGATAGAAATTAGGATTCAGTGATGCAATAATGTAATTGGAATATGTGCAATAACTATGGAACGGCCTCAGATTACGATTTTTGGATGGCGTGATTTTAATATTGAATGTAATTTAATTTTTTAAAATATGTATTAATGTTAATTGAAAGGATTTTAAGCTTAATGTTGTATGTATTCAAGGCACTGGACAATTGCCATATTAAGCTGCCTTAAGTCCCCCTTGGGCTAGAGAAAGGCGGGGTAGAAATAGGATAAATAAATAAATATCTGGAGGGCCACCATTTCTCTAGACCTGGTTTAGGATAACATCTGTCCCTAGCTGAAGTCAGTGTCAAAATGGCTTTTGTTGTTTACAGCTTTCAAATTGGCTGTGACCTTAGTGCTTAGGGAAAAAAACCCTAAATTGCCAGCGTCTTTTTGTCTCTGAACCAAGACACTTTCTGTCCCTACCTTACTCTCTGAATTGTTAACAGTGCTGTGTTACAAAATATGACCTTTATAAGCAACTAAATACCAGTGGGACATAAATTTTTTCCTGCATTCCAGGCCATGAAACTTAACACAGAAGGGGTAATAATTACAGGGTGTAAACCTGTGCAACCTCGAAGGTTACAATCCTGCCCATGCATATCTATATGGACCGTAATGGGCCCTGCATCTGAGTGGCTGGGCATTGGACTGCATTCAAACATTGTAAAGTGCCCACTAATTCCAGTAGGAGAAATAAACAGCTGCTTTGTTGTCTTCCTCTGAAATCAATGCGAGTTGAAAATGCTTAGCTTGGACTTGATGGTGCCCATTGTGTTCCAGGTGGCTGATTTTAATTTAAGGATGCAAAATCCTTTTTGGAGAACTTTTCATTGACTGCTCCCATAAAACTGCTCCTCGTGTTTTATGCAATGAGTTCCTAAATCAGAGCATGCATTGTGTCTGTCCATGCAAGCAATGGCCTAGAAAATGACAGACAATCATGTCAATCAGGGAGAAGAGAGAGTCAATGCAGGCCTCTTGCTTTCTTTCTGGAACAGCTGGCCTTATGAAGTTGCCAGTTTCCTTCCTTGGCTGCTTCAGCATACCCGCAGTAATTTTTTCTATATTTTATTAAAAAATCCATCAGACATTAAAACAGTGCAGTGAACTTCTATGTTCATCCACTCAAAAAGCAGCTATATTAATTGGAACATACTTCCAGGCAAGCATGCACAGGACTGCAGTAGGAAGAACTGAGTAGTACACAGATCTGCTTTCATGGGTGGTTTCTCAGTGTGAGTACTTATTTTTCCTTATCTTTCTAGGCCATCCAAGACATCAACAATCTGAAGCGGTTCATCAGACAGGCAGAAATGAGCCATTACGCTCTATTCAAGTGCTACTTGTTTCTGAAGAATTGTGGCAGTGGAGATGTCCTCTTGAAGATCGTGAAAGTGGAACATGCAGAAATGCCTGAAGCCAAAAGCGTCATCAGTGTCCTTGAGGAATTCATGAGAGAACCAGCTTGTAGGTTAAATTCCTCTCCAGAACGTAGGACTCCTTACACATTGCAGAATTAATGTATATCTATATGCAATCTTAACGTGTGCAAACAAATGTGCATTACAAATCCCACAAAGTGCACAGTATGGAGAAGTGCAACTGATTCCCTCACAGCATTTAAATGTAGTCATGAAAAAACACTCGTTTTGCATATTGCAGTGTATGTACAGAGTATATTGTTTTGGTGGTCCAGGAATAAATGGCTAGCTTTGGCATCCATTCCCTTTCAATCCTTTTCTTGCATGCCTGGTTTAAGAGGCAATTTCTTGGACTCATTAAACATGATGTAAGAAATGTGGGCATTCAGCATTCCTTTCAAAACTTGTTGGAAACCAGAAAGTAAAACTTTGGTTTGTCATCCTGGCTTGAAGGTTTAAAACTGACATAACAAAACATTTGCAGGTAGGAATGCGAGAGGAGGAGGAGGAAAGATGAAAATATTTGAATATGTTGGTTGTTTCTGTGTATCCTAAGCTGTTTTTTGGACTGGGACATTATGCTTTTATCCAGCCATCCTGTTGTTATCATGTGCTTTCAAGTCATTTCTGTCCTATGGTGACTGTAAGGGTTTTCTTGGCAGAATTTGTTCAGAGGGAGTTTGTCCTTACCTTCTTCTGAAGCTGAGAGTGTGTGATTTGCTTCAGGTCAACCAGTAGGTTTCAGTGCCTGATCAGGGATTTAACCCCTGATCTCCAGAGTCATAGTCCAATGCTCAGACTACTACATCTAGATTTATTTTGAACTGTACAATAGAACTTATCTTTGGCTGGATCTGAATTTAGACAGATATATCTAGCCCCTGGTGGCACAGCTCGTTAAACTGCTGAGCTACTGAACTTGCTGAATGAAAGGTTGGCAGTTTGAATCCAGGAAGAGGGGTGAGCTCTCACTGTTAGCCCCAGCTTCTGTCAACCTAGCAGTTCGAAAACATGCAAATTTGAGTAGATCAATAGGTACTGCTCTGGTGGGAAGGTAACGGTGCTCCATGCAGTCATGTTGGCCACATGACCTTGGAGGCGTCTACAGACAACACTGGCTCTTCAGCTTAGCAATGGAGATGAGCACCATTTCAGGATTTTCTTGACAAAATTTGTTCAGAGGTGGCTTGTTCTGAGGCTGAGAGTTTGTGAGCTGTCCAAGGTCAGCCAGTAGGCTTCCAGGGCTAAACAAGGAAGGATAGGATTCACACCCCGGTCTCCCAGAGTCCCAGTATAACACTCAAAGCACTGTTCAATAATAGCTGTCACCTTGACATAGGACCATTCCTCTTCTTATTAAGGGAGGTGTGGCCCTGCCTGATGCAGTTGCAGTCTTGGCACAGGAATGTCACTTTTCTTCCTTATGCATCACCCTTATACATCCCTCTTTATGTTTGTGTAGGAATTGCTTCTGCTAGATCATGGTGGGTGCCAAATTGAATTGAAGCAGTGGATGAATCCAGTACTGAAATGAGATTTCCTTAAGATTAGCTGTTAATTATTTAATTATAGTTGTCTCTGTAAAATATGACTTTGACTTTGCAAGGTTTTCTTTTGGCATATTTCTACTGACCATCTCATTTTAAAAGCAGAGAGAGCGGGAGAAGCTGAACAATAGATTGTAGGATCTGTGCACAATTGTGAGAAGAAAACAATAGTTACAAACACAATAGAAAAATATTTTTTTGACATTTTATACAGCACTCCACTTTGCAAGTACTGTGTCTGCTCCGAGAGCTCTTGAGGGGAAACCATCGTCTCTTCAAACTTTCCTTTAAGGCAAAATTACTTCATTTTGAGGTTTAATGCTTAGCCAAAGGGGAGAGGGGTGTCACATGTACTAAAGAAAAGAAAGGTGACATCTACCTTTATTTGTAAACTTAACAGATATTGTGGAGAGGTATACTGTGATTACTATATCAATTAAACATGATTGACAATGTATTTTTCTTGCACACATTCAGCCTGTGGACTTCTGTGTATTGTATAAATTGCCGTGTTACTAATTTGTATTCTATTTGAGTTTCCTGAGGAACCTCATTAGCGAGTTTTCTTTCATTAGAAATCAGTGCTTAATTATGATATTAAAATGTATTTGCCATCAATGGAGTTTGTTTCTGTTTTGCTTTTTGTTGTTTCTTCACCAAACGGTTGAATATAATGTCTTTGTCATCATACACCTGGCATGGCCCATCAGACAGAAAGAGAGGCTCCTGGTAAACAATATTAAGGTATTGTGTCACAAAGTGGGACTTGTGTGCAGAGGGATGAGTAAACCAACCTTAGATGTAAATCAAACATAAGCCATAGAAATAAACTCCTTACCTGCAGTCAAAAGTGGACTTGGTTTTGCAGGAATGTGCACATCTACCTTCCTCAGGCCACATTTGAAAGAGGCATTTGCATGGATAGAAAAACACACAACTTATAAGCAGGAGCATGGAAATAGCTTAATAATACAGGACTTTCCCTTTTTGTACTTATACAGTCATTTGAATCAAAGGTCACCAATGCAGAAAGGGAAGAGGCTTGTTTAAAACCAATGGTTCTCGGGAGATGGCAGCAAGGACCACAATCCTGCATTAGAAGATGGAATATAAAGCTCTCCCCTCCATTGAAACCCATCTGTTTTCTGTGATTCCCCACATCATATAGTAGCTGTGGTAAAGCTGAAGTAGCTGAAAAGTATCAGATGATGTTCCTGTAGCCAGATCTTTGGGACTTCTGTAGGATTCTCAAGAGGTTGCAGATAATGCCGTCACCATCATGTTTCTGGATGTAAGGACATAGCCAGATTCCATAATAGGCACAGGAAGTGGGAAACAATAGAATTTCTCTAATAGGAAAATTATAATCAACCTAGAACAAACCTGAAGTCCTTAAAAACCTGAATTACAATGGTTAGCATCCTTCAGTAAGAGCAGTAAAAAACCCTTCTCAACCATGGCCAGTAGATGTCCCTGCAAATGCTGAGCAATCCCTCTTTTTCACCACCCATCCTTCATGTTCAGTTGCTCTTTAACCTCTCTGCTGTAATTCTTCTATACAGAAGATAAGATGATATCTGATAGCACTTTCTGGCCCTGTGCCTCCCCATGCAAACTTCAATGAAAGCGGAGACTGGCTTGAAGTCCCTGTTTGCTTGCATTTTGACCTGTAGTTTTATCTCTCAATGATGGCATTTTAATGATTCCACATACATCAAGAAAGGCTCATACTATATCTCAGAGATTCTGGCAGGAACAGAGTTAAACGCAAAGACTGTTGTGAAGAGGCTAAGACCTACCGCAAGATGTAATTAATCTACGAATGTCTGCAGCAATGCAATGTGGTAAGCTTGCAAGGGCATCTGGAGGTAAGGGAGAAATTTATCCCCTAATCACTCATTGGAACAGCAATATCCCAGAAACACTGGGTGGATTTAAGAGGCAGTTTAACTTAGAGCAGCCTTAGTATTGTGTGATCTGACTAGTAAAAGCCTCAAGTAATACATACCTTTTTGCATATTTTGTAGAAACCAAAGGAACACTGAATTTGTTGGTGTGTTAGGAAGGCTAGTAAAACAGGGAGGAATGCAATGCCTAACCTCAGGTCTGTACCCTCTGAATCTATGCTCTGCTATAGTAAGAGACAGATTAAATTGCCAGGAAGGAGATTTCCTCTCTAATAACACATGCGAAATGTGTAGCCAAGTTTAGAGACAGATTATGCAGGAAGTTCCATTAGCTGCAACATTAACTTGTGGTTGGTATACATCAGTATCTGAAGAGATGAACCTGTTTCTGGAATGTCCCACTTCAGATTGCAGACAGAGATTCACTTGACTTACTATTGCCTTGATGATCATGAGTGTGAATTAATAACAATTACTAACAAATAATATGCTGGCAGATAGAAAACGGATATATCATCATGAATACTAGGCTAGAATTTTTCTCCCTGGTATCCAGTGCTATATGTGGATTGAACTTAATTTCATTTTATTGGGAATGCGGCAGCATTCATACAAGTCCCCATCTATAGTCCCAAGTGGTATAGTCCAGAAATTGGGTTATTTCATGCTATTGTAATCTATTATCTCCTTGCCTTTGCAGTTCAATTAAATGGGTCACATTCATGCAACTAATGGGATTCTGCAGTGGAATCTGTTGTCCCATGACATCCTGCTTATGAGATCATCCTAAAAATATTGCATGCACAAATTGGTCTGTTTTAGCATGGGAAAGAGGAGTTCAAAAATCTTTCTGCTGTACCCAATTCTTGTCCTTTTGTGTTGACACAATTGCAAGAAGGGATGGATCTATTTGTGCCTATTACAAATATTTTGGTCTAGGTGTATTTGAGGGGCCACGGTGGCACAGTGGGTTAAACCGCTGAGTTGCAGAACTTGCTGACCGGAGGGTCAGTGCTTCAGATCCGCAGAACAGAGTGAGTTCCCATTGCTAGCCCCAGCTTCTGCCAATCTAGCAGTTCGAAAACATGCAAATGTGAGTAGATCAATAAGTACTGCTTTGGCAGGAAGGTAACAATGCTCCATGCAGTCATGCTGGCCACATGACCTAGGAGATGTCTATGGACAACACCGGCTCTTCAGCTTAGAAGTGGAGATGAGCACCCCCCCCCCCCCAGAGTCGGACTTGACTAGACAATGTCAAAGGGAAACCTTTCCCTTTCCCTTTAGATATATGTGATTGTCATGGAAGCTGTACTTTGGCAGAGGTCAGGCGTATCCACTTGCACTACTGCGTTCATTAAAGCTTCACATAAACATCCAATTGAACTATCAGCATAATTTCCCATGAAATTTTGTTCAATATTCAGAAAAGCATTCTGGTACAAATAAGTAAAGGTTTCCCCTGAAATTAAGTCCAGTCATGTCCGACTCGGGGGGGTGGGGTGGTGCTCATCTCCATTTCTAAGCCGAAGAGTCAGTGTTGTCTGTAGACACCTCCAATGTCATGTGGCCAGCATGACTGCATGGAGCACCGTTTGCATATATGTATGCACAAAATAATTATACATAATGCCGGATGTGACAGGAAATACCTCAATGTGGCATTGTTCCATGGTTGGTAGTGAACAACTGGATACAAGTTAGTGTCTCCTGTTGCCAGTGTAATGGACTTTTGACCTCCACAGATACTGTATTGTGCAGCATTTCCCCCATTAGCAGCACAGAAGGCATATCTGGCAACATTTAGGCTTACCTTATATATGCAAAAGTAGGAGAAAAGGGGGTGGATAGGTGATTCCATGATTCCAGCCTGGACACAGCATATTATTTGAGAACACAGAAATGCTGGACCACACCAACAACCACCATGTCAGACTACACAGAGAAGCCATTGAAATCCACAAGCATGTGGACAATTTCAACAGAAAGGAAGAGACCATGAAAATGAACAAAATCTGACTACCAGTATTAAAAAACTCTAAAATTACAACAGCAAAACAGCAGAGAGGAAACAACCAGGCACATCTTAACACCTCTCAACAAAGATTTTCCCAGGCTCAGGCAGGCCTTCAAATGCTAATGAAGGTGGTCAGTTGAAACATTCACGCCTAGCTCTAGCAGAGAAGAGCTCTTTGCCCCACCCCAGCCATTCCACAGATATATAAACCCATTGTCCTATTTCCAACAGACCTCACTACCTCTGAGGATGCTTGCCATAGATGCAGGCGAAACGTCAGGAGAAATGCCTCTAGAACATGGCCCTATAGCCCGAAAACCCCCACAAGAACCTAGATTCCATGATTGTTAACAGACTCTGTTACTTACTACTCCAGTGATATGCCCTAGGACAGAGGTAGGTAAACTTATTCCTGCCATAAGCCTTTTTATTCTGAAAGCCATCAAGAAAAGAGGGCATTTCCTGAAAGAACAACCAGAACAATAAGACCCTGACTGTAAATAGAAGGTCAGCTGTTCTCCTCTCCTTTTTGCCTTGTATTTTATTCGTGTTGTATTTTAAAGGGTCATATGACTAGTCAAATAAATAAATAAGTAATTCCTGCCATAAAGTTACAGTGCAGTTTTCATAAGCCTCAGCCAGCACAGCCAATGCTCAGAGAGTATGAAAGCTGTAGTTTTAAATGGTATGGAAGGCATTAGGTTACCTATGCTTGCTTTTGGATGACTAATACATCCTTTAAAAAAACCCAACGAAACCAGGCTGCCTTGGCTATTTATATAGTGTTAGGACATGGGACAAATCCATACAAAGCCACTGCAAATTGGAAAGTAGAGAAGTAGTGGTAGAGAAGCTTATTTAAAAAAAAACAATGGGGTAGGAGACCATTTCTCAGTCTTGTTACTTACAGCATTTTCCCATAGTTTCTATGGCCGTTTGTCTTGCTGAGTTCATAAGGGTGGGAGGATAGGCTGCATAGTCAGCTAGGTAAGGGGAAATGTGAGCTGACATTGGTGTGCACTCCTTAAAAATAGACTTGAGGGCTAACAAACTCTGCTCACCTCTAAGAATGTTCTTTAACAAGAAACATTAATGTTTTGCCCTATGTTGAAAACCACCTCTCAGGGAAACAGGGCGGTATATAAATAAAGTTTTATTATTATTATTATAAACAAAGATGCACATTCCATGCATCCCTGATTCATTGTGACAGGGATTTCACTGCTAATAAAACAGTAATTTGGATTTATCGTGCACTCATGGGGAAAATAACCACAGTATTATTTTGATTCACCTGTTGAGTATTTGAAGTACTGGCTTTATAGAGGCAAAAATCCCATGACGGGGGAAGAAAGGATTTGACATAAACTGATTAATGAAACTGGTGCCAAATTCTGTTTAAATCACTCAAAAGCCTAAGCTTGACTACTGGCCACAATCTGTGAGCTCAAGAGAAATACAAACACTGGTAACACAATTTCAAAATTCTTCTTCTCTCCCCCCCACCCCCACATCTTTGGGTTAGCTTTAAAGTGTTATATTTCTGGTCTGTGCAACTCTTGTTTTTTATTTAACAGCAGAAGCAATTCCTCAGATGATCCCAACAGAACTCTAGACATCTCAATATAAATGAACTGTATTTATCTGGTTTCTCTGTTTATTTTGGTGCAGATATATAACATGGATTTGACTAC